TTGGCCTTAAAAATTATTTAATAAATATTAAAAAAATAAATTTTAGATGTGAAACATGTGAAGATAAGAGCTAATATTTTATGAATGGAGCCTTTGATTTATATGATACAAAGTGTTACTCATGTAAATAAAAGATAATAAGCTAATATTAGGAACTTGAAAGGTATGAAATAAGATATGATAAAAAAAAAATGAAATGCTAGCTTTGCTTAAAAAGTGATAATGGATGTTACTTTACAAAAAAATCTCATGTTTATGTATTTTGTGGCACATATGAATAGAAGTTAGGATCAGGCACATTATCAGACCCTTATAATTTGTTTAAAATTTCTTAAGTAAACATAGACAGATTAATACTTAATGAAGAAGATTTAAATAGAGCTTATGTGTTTTATAATGAGCTGTAATTGAGAAAGTTAGAACTTGCTATTTAATATATTGACTAAAGTGGTATTTGCATTGAGAATTTTGCTCTAAATCTTTAAAATAGCTTGAAGAGTACAATCAATTCTTTGGAATTTATGACACTGACGATTAAGGCTGACTAAAATTAAGATAACCAAACTTATTTTACAGTTTAGTAAATAGCTGTAGCATAAATATATGGATTTAGCTAAATTTAAATATAAAACATTAATTATGTATCAAAACACTCAAATGGAAATTTTGGTTTCTTATCTTAAAATACAGAAATATATTCAATTTAGTTACAAAATGTAACATTTAGCTCCAAAACCTTATCTCCTAACTTACTTTTGTTAAGTTTTTAATTCTTCAATGGAACTCTAATAATTGATAATGTTTCTTTCACTAACATTACTACCAAGAATAATAATTTAATTGATTTAAAATTTTAATAGATAGCTACCCCATAAACTTACTAAATAACAAATATTATTTTCTAGAATTGCACTTTTATTTCTAGTTAATTCTTCTCCTTTTAGTTTTTTGGAATTTTAAATATGTATAATTTTACTATCAGCTAAAGTATATTCTAATAACAGTCAACTTTAGTTCAAGCCTCACTTCAAGTCTTATAATAATCTTCAGCTTTAAATTTAACTAATATTAGCATCTACAAAAGCAGCTTTTATAACTCCATTATTATGTACTCTTAACATTTTAACAAAATAGTATTTACTTAAGTAGTAATGTCAGATAATAGTATAATTTCAGATTTTAGCTCATAAAACTAGCTACCAAGCTTATTTTATTTAGACTAAATATAAATTTCACAATTCCAATTTGTGAATAATATTTTTTTAAATACACTAATATTCTAGCTATCCTCAGTTTAATAAAATTCTAATATTATTCAATATAATTTCACTTCGTTTAAGTTCTAGTCTAATGTAGTGAATACAAATCATGCTTTTATTTTTTATTTAAGTTTAAGTTAAAATGCAATTTTAAACATCACTGATTTCTAAATAAAAAATAATACTTATAATATACAAAATTTAACATTACAAAATAGTAAATTCTTTTAATTTAATTCAGTAACAAACGTAACAATAAATAAATTAATAATTGAAGACGAAATCGCTATAAAATTCTTAACTATTCTAAGTGTTTAAAATGTTAATATAAATATTCTAAATGTTGGGTAATAAATTTCTTAGTCTTCGGCATATAATATATTAGATCTTTAAAGGGTAAATTTAACTTGCGTAATTCAAAATGTGATGATAAGATAACTAATTACATACTAATAATTGATAATCATACATTAAATAATGAATCAAATTTAAAATAATGACAGGTCCTTATACTAAATCAAATTAGTTAATTTCACTTTTTATGAGATCGAGTTGAAAAGAATTCCACCTATCAGTTTTGAAGTTCCGATATAAAATATTATAGAAATTAAATCTTAAATTGATGGAATTGTTCTTATTAGTAACTTTTAAGGAATTAATGTCTATAGAAAATTTAGTAAATTAGAGGTACATTTATTTTATTTGATTTTAAATTAATAACAAAACTAATATTTTAAATTTTTCATTTAAATCTATATTTTTTAAAACGAATAGGAATACTTATAAACTGAATAATTTTTATCTACTGTCTTATTAATCTAAATGGAAATAGGCTTATTATAAGTAGAGAATAGCTTTATTTAAACTTATTATGTTCATCCCTCACATAATATTTTGTAAATTAGATGCAACTAAATTAATTTAGTCAACTCTTCTTTTGTTTTATAAGAAAACTAAAATTCTAAATTTGCATTTTAAGATTCTACTTTAAAAGGTGGAATACTAAACCTTATTTCACCATAGCTATAAATATTTAATACCACATTTTCAGGTGGTTTAGCTTATTAAGGAGGTGCTATTTATTTTTAAAGTATATTGATGACTAAAGTATATATATAATTATCTAATTTTATTGATAATTGGAGCTTTAGTTTAAAGAATAAATAAGAATGCTATGGAGGAGCTATCTATTTTGATATTTCATTAAGCTAAACTACTGGTGAACTATTCATCTTAAATACAACCTTTAAAAATAATCTATCTTTATACTAAGGAGGATCTATTTATATTTCCAATTCGCTGCTTAAATTTTTTTTTGTCAGTTAATATAATCACTTTACAGATAATTTATCTCTAGGTGGAAGTAATATTTATTCTTTTTAGTCAAAAGCCACTAGTCAAATAACAATGTATGTAAATGTTGTTTCAATTACAGACAACTTTAAAGTACTCTCTGGAAATTTATAACCTTATTTCTCTTCATAAATGATACAAAGTAATGCTAACTCATTGTTTACCTTTTAAAACTTTTATAGTGTTGATATTATTTAGTGCATATTTTAATCAAGTTAGTCAAATCAATAATTTCAAAATTTAAATTTAGCTCAGCTTACATTTCAATCAATAATGAATTTCTAATCTATCACTTTACTAACTCTTGATTAAAATTAATACAATTAATTGTAAGTTTATAGCAACTTAATTAGTATCTCTAACTCTAAGAAAGTTTTGATTTAATGGGATAATTTTAATAACAATAAATTAACTAATCTTCCTATTTATCCTCAAAATAATTAAATAAAAAGCTTAATATCAATCAATTCAAACTCAGCTATAATTAAAAAGCTAATATTCTAAAAAAACTATTGCGCTTTATGTGAATAAGGGAATATATTTATTGATTCAAATCATCTTTTTATAGATTAAAGTATTTTTTAAGAAAATACTGCATTTAATGGAGGCTCTTTATATTTACATATGCCAGCTTTATCAAAATCTAATAGAATTTTAGAATGTACAAATTTTAATGACTACTAAGTATAATTTAGCTAAGCAAATCAAACAATATTAAACTGCTCTTTTATTGGCAACTTAGCTTTATAAAGTGGAGGATCTATTTTTATAGAGAGCACTCTAATATATTTATCTAATTTATAATTTACTGGTAATAAAGCATAAATGTATGGAGGTGCTATAGCTTCTGATAATAAACTTGATTCTAAATTTTAAAATATTTAATTAACATTTTCGTCATTTATGAATAACTAAGCTCTTATTGGTAGTGTTTTATTTTAAATGCAAAACCTCCCTATTAGCAGGATATTCTAAAATACATTGTTAAATAATTTTGCAAAATTATATGGAAACTAGTTAGAATAATCTGCTGTAGGATTTATTGGAATTTTAAATGGTCAAAAATATAATTCTAAAATTGTAATTTATAATTTTCTAAGCGGAATAATTCAAGTAAATAATTATAAATATTTATTATTTTTTTTATTTAAAAAAAGTAAATTTTAAATATATTATAATTTTCAAATCAATATATTAATTTATTAAATTATGAAAATAAAGGATGATTTGTTAATTTAACTTATAAATGCTGAAAATTACCCAATTTCATAATTAAAAAATGACATAATTCTTAAATTAGAAACAGACTAGGAAGATTTTTCAATTTTTCCTTCATAGATAAAATAAAATAATGGCTTATTTAATTTATCTAATTTATCCATCTATGGAAAGTTGGGGTCATAGCTAAAAATTAGACTTACTTCTGATTTTAACTACATCCCTAATTATGACTTATAGGGAAATTTTCTTAATATTTCTTAGAATATTTATTTTGAAATACATTTTTAGTTCAGAAAATTATGTCCTAAGGGTACAACTCTTGTCTAAGATAATAGCAAAAAGGATATGTGCTATAATTGCCCCGCTGGTACATTTAATTTAGTTGATGGATAAAATTGTATCAAATGTCCTTTTGTTTGTTAGAACTCAATAATGTATTTACCAAGAGGATATTGGAGATATTCTTTAACAACATATGAATATTAAGAATGCTATTTATCATAAAATTGTGTTGGAGATATTGATAAAATAGTATCTCAAAAATTATAGGGCAGTACAAATAGATATTGTAGTGAAGGTAAAAAAAATTACTATTAAACTAATATATTACTAATATAATTATAAAATAAGGAAATATTGGAGTATTTTGCATGGATTGTGACATAGAAGGAATATACTGGGAAAACAGATACTAATAAATAACTCCTTATACATGCTAAACGTATTAACGATTAATAATATATTGTGATTTCCATTTTAAATAATATCAATCATCATTCATTTTAATTTTATCATCAATTTTCTGAAAAATATAAAATGAAAATATTATTTTTTTATCTTTAATTATTATATTAAATAGAAAATACAATATCTTAAATACAAATATTTATTTAATTTAAAAAATTAGGTGTGATGGATTCAAAAATTTTCCAAGTTTAATAATATTTTTCATAAATCTATTATTTTATGGATTTATAATAAACATAATAAATAAATAAATTCAAGTGTAAAAATTGAAAAAAGTTTTCTACCTTTTAAAAGTTAATATCTTTTAGGATACCAAATAATTCAACTTGATTAAAATCTTAATAAACTATTTAGTCTTACTAAGTTTAATTAATCCATTTATCAATGTACTACCAATATTCTTATAGTAATTTATATTTGAGTTATTCAATGCCCCTAATAATATGCTAAAGCTATTAGATTGTAAGCTTATTCTTCTATTAGATACTTAACAGATACCTTTTTGTCATGCAAGGATATTTATATCATTAATAATTTTTTTATTTATCTTTCTATTTATGTTTATAATATCATAATTTTACTTAAAAACTGATAAAATAACAAGAATTGCATCCCTCTTTTTTGTCTAAATTCACAATATCCCTTATTTAGCCAAATTATTCATAGGAGTCTTAAGTTATCTAACCGTTTAGGGTCAAAATTATATAAAAGATTTTCCAAGCGTAACATTGAACATTAAATAAGTTGGATTTATTGTATCAATCTCATTACTAAGCTTTTAAGTTCTATTCTTATTTGCTTTACAATATTTTATGAAGACAAAAAAGGATTTTCTTGAAAATGAAAGAGCTCCTCACTACCTTCGATTTATGTATCAAGATTACTATTATTACTGGTGGGAAATTGCTTCTTCTCTTTATAAATTATTATTATTTTTAGTTGAAGGTATTTATTTTTAGTAATACATTTTAAGAGATACGATTTGCTGCTCGATCTGCTTTATTTATGCCACATCAATACTATATTGTAAATTTTTTGATTTTGTAAAAATATTTATATAATTATTTATTTTTAATAATTTTATCAGTTTTACCTTACAAAAGAAAGGAATTAAATTATATAGAAGTACATATTAGCTTTGGTTTATCTGTGAGTTTTGGTTTAATGAGCTATTTAAATTAGAAAAGCTACAAAAATGAGTCTTTAGCTACCATTATCTTTATAAATCTTTCAATATTAATTTTATTGGCCTATAGTCTATCTTAAAATTATTTTAAAATATTTTTAAGCTATTTAAAAATAAAAAAATTATATTAAAGAAATTAAAAAAGTTCATAAGAGCTTTGGAAATTAATAAAACAAAGAATTTTTAGCAAACAGTAGAATCTTTTAACTTAATATTATAAGGAAAAATAAGAGAAACAAATAGCTAAAAGCTACTTAAGCTACAAGAAACTTTTAGTTATTTAATAATTAAAGAAAAAATAAATTAAATAAAATAATTAACCTAATAATTAAGTCGACATAATAAATTGATTTAAATTTCTTTTATTTCAAATTTATATTCAAGCTTTAATTTTTGCCTAAATTTATTAATCAATTAAGAATAAAATTATATTATTTGAAATAAAAATAAAATTAGTTAGTAAATCATACATTTCTTTGATTGTAACTTTTATTTTGATAATTAATAATATTGCATTTGCTTTAATTAATATAAAAAGTAAGTTTATATAGAAAAAAAATAAAATATAATTAATATTTACTTAGAAACTCAGGTTGATAATCTTAAAAAAATTAGTTTTTATTGTAATATAATTCATTTTGTAGCATATAAAAGTAATAAGTTTACCTTTTAGAAAAATAAAGTGTTTAAAATTTAGTTTTTATATAAAATTAAAATATGATTATGAGCTTTCATGTTGAAATAATTAAATTAAAATAAACATAAGTTTGTATTAACAACATTTACTTTGTTACTCATTTTATTATAAAATTATAATTTAAATAATTGGCACCTTGGTATTTACATTTTTTCTTTATTATCAGATTTAAATAGAAAATTAATTTTGAGAATAAAAGTAAATAATTGTCAAATTTAATTAGTACTGTATAGTACTCAAATATGATACTTATTTCCAAAATATTTTTTGATAACTTGTTTTTTTTTTTTTTTATTATGAAAATTGTTTTTTATCATTTTTTACATATTCGTTTTTTACAAAATAAAGTAATTTGTTTGATTTTTAGATTTCATTTTTAATATAGTGTAAACTGAATAATATATTTTTAATCAGGTAGTTGTTAATAAAATTTTTTTTATTAATCATCAGTTACCAGCATTAAGACAGGAAATCATATTTAAAATTTATTAAATTTGTTAATTTTCCTTCAAATTATTTAGAGGTAAATTTGTAAAGATCCCTTTTTTTAGTATTAATTGTTAATTAAAATGTGAATTTTATTATTTGTTACTTTGATTTTTTATCTATTCTTAAATTTATTAAATGAAATATTTATTTATATAAATAAAATATAAGTAAGTAAGGAATTAATATTGACCATAAAAAAACTTAGTTTCAATTAATTTTTAATTAAAAAAGTATTTATTTATAATTCCAGCTATTGATTAGAAGATTTTTTTTTTCTTCTATTTTTATCATTTAAATTGCTTGAAAGCAATATTTTAGAATCTAAAAAATATTCTTACATCCTTACTATTAATATAGTAATTATTTTGTATTGACTCAGTAATAAAAAAATTTATTTTATATATAGTTCCTTAAAAGATTTAATATTTTTTTAAATTTTTAGCCAATAATATGTTATTTAAAAAGTCAATCAATAAAATTATAAGCCGTTTATAATTTAGTAACAATAATAAATTAAAATCATAATTAGATAGTAAAGTAAATCAGCTTATTTTTAAAAGCTTTTTGAATGTACAAAATAAATAAATAATTAATCATTTAAATAAATATTTTTGTAGAAAATTAAATAAGATTATAGCAAAATGCTTGAATTTATATATTTATACTTTTTTATACTTATTGTTCAATTCTCAAACCATGTAAATGCAATTACATGCAGTGCTAACAAATGCTTTGATGTAAAAATTAGTAGCTGCAACGATATTTTACCCAATTATACTGGAGTAAACACCCAAGGAATTTGTGTTAGTGATAGAGAGAATTCTATTATATAATATTGTGCTAAAAATTCTAACTTAATATGCATGAATTCATCAAAAACTATGTGCATTTTACTTAATTCTAATCCAAATGATGCTTTTATAGGGAGTTATATGGATAATAACTAGAATTTCATTTGCATTCAACAAACTGATATCTAATTGAAGTCAATTAACCCATCTAGTAAAGATAATTATAATTGATTGATATTCAAACTAGAAAACCATTTAATTTAATAAAAGGTATTTAATTCTTAAAAGAAGGATATTGTTATAAAAATGACAACTTTATATATTAAGGATAATAAGTCTAAAGTAGCTTTTTGTGCAATTGCTCTTAAAAGTAAGTAGATTTAGGTTTAAAAAAGCTAATTTTGTTGTATTTTTATAATATTAACAGCTATTGCTATGATGGAATAAATTGCACTCAAATGGATAAAAATTTATATGCAGGAAAAAATATTGATGGATAGTGTGTAGCCCTATCAGTATTAGATAATGTTATAAGTTGCTTTGATGACGAGCTAACAATTTGCTTATTTTAGATATCTTAAAATAGTTCAAAATGCATATTTTATGCTTAAAAAT